ATGTCCAGGGGCCATACTCTCGGGGTTTCTGCCGTCTCCGTCAGGCCAGTAAGTCTGGTCTTTTTTTATATGTGAGTTAGAATTTTGTTCTACATTTTTCTCCAGCTCTGTCGGGGGCCCTCTGTTGTGATCCTGGTCAGAGCAGTCAGTGGTAGTAACTGGGCACCATCTAGTTGTACTGGACTCAGTCTGGTAGAGGCGGTGGTAGTTGTGGTCCATTAGTCCTCTGGACTGATCTTTCCCTTGTATCTTGTTTTCTTCATTCTCCCTTGCTCCCGAAGGGGTGAGACCAGTGCAGTATCTTAGATGGCTGCTCACAGGCTTTTAAGACCCAAGGTACTACTCACCAAGGTAGAATGTAGAACAGTTTCTTTATAAACTGTGTTATGCCAATTGAGCTAGATGTTCCCTGAGACCATGGTCCCCACAGCCCTCTGCCCAGCACTTCAGTCCCTCAGGGAGTTTGGATGTGTCTATGGAGCTTCCATGACCTTTCCTTGTACAATTTGTGCTGGCTTCCCCAGTATTGTGTACGGTCTTACCCTTCACCAAAGTTATCACTTACCTATTGTGTATTTAGTATTCCCCCCTCACCCCTCTCATCCCTCGTAACCAACAAAGATTGTTTCTTTTTGTGTGTAAACTTTTTCATGAGTTTTTACAATAGAGGTCTCATACAATATTTGTCCTTTTGTGATTGACTTATTTCACTCAGCATAATGTCCTCCAGTTTCATCCATGTTATGAGAGGCTTCACAGACTGATCATTGTTCTTTATCATTGCATAATACTCCATTGTGTGTATGTATCACAGTTTATCCGTTCATCTGTTGATGGGCATCTAGGTTGTTTCCATCTTTTTGCTGTTGTGAACAATGCTGCAGTGAACATGCGTGTGCATAAGTGGTTCCCCATCTGTTTTTTTTAGATTTTGCCAAAGCTGGCCTATTTTCAGATTTTACCCATCCAGTGCTCAGCAAATCTTTTTGAGCGCTTTCTGTGTGCCAAGCACCATATCAGGCACTGGAGGTAGCAAGAGGAGTTTAAGTCTTGGTCCCTCACCCGTATTTGTTTGCAGAGTACTAGGAGGGAGAAGCATGGCCTACGTGTTATCTGGGGGCATACCATGGGCACTGTGGGTGCACACAGTAGGCCGGAGGCAGTACAGGAGGGCTACCTGGAGGAAGTAACCTTTCAGCCAAGTTTTGAGAGAAGAGTAGGAGAAGGAGAAGCTAAGCATAGGAGCCAGCCTATGAAAAGGTACAGAGGAGGGTGTGTGTGTGGTATTTTCAGGAAATCTCAGGTATTTGGTGTGACTGAAATGTTGGCATGGTATGTGCAAGAGTATGCTAAACGTGGACAAAAAAGTGAGGAAAGGCCAGATTATAAAGGGCCTGGGAGCCACTGGTATTTCAAATACCAGCAGGGTCGCTCATGGTGGACAGGTTTTGGCAGAGCTTCCAGACTAAGACTAGGAAGAAAGGCCTGGTGATCTTCCAGAAATTAGCCAATGAAAATCTTATGGATCAGAACAGAACTTGCTTGCCTTGGACACATCATCAGGAGGGATCAATTGTTGGAGGAGAATATCATATTTGGTGAAGTACAGGACCAACAAGGGTGAGGGAGACCCTCAGTGAGATGGATTGTCCCAGTAGTCGTATCGATGGACACGCCGACCATCATGAGGATGATTCAGGACTGGGCAGCGTTTCGTTCTGTTGTACGTAAGGGCGCCGTGAGTCGGTGTCAACAGCAGCTCTCTACATCTCTGTGGTGCGCTGAGAAGTTGAGGCTTTTCTTCTACAGAGAATGAAGAGCCACTGAAGAAAGTTAAGTGGGGGGTCTGTGAAATAAGGCACTTCATTGCGGTGGTTCTGGTAGCAGTGTGAAGGATTGTCTGGAAGACCACAAAGCTGGGGCAACATGATGAACACTTACTGCACTGCTGGAATATCCCGATAAGAAATGATGGATTAAGGCAGTGAAGGTGAAAGGGACAAGAGACAGCTTAGTATCTAAAATTGGTATGTGAGTGGGAATTAGGAGACAGAATGATCCAAAGGTTTCTAGTGAATGGCTAAATAGGTCTTTGTGCCTTTGATGGAGCAGCCATGGGATTCAGGAAGAGGAGCAAATTTGAGAGGGAAAATAATGGTTCTGTTTTGGACTTTAAATTTAATTTAAATTGTGTTTGAAATATCTAGGAAGATACCCAGTATGGACTTGGAAATATTGATTTGTGCCTCAGTAATTGCTGCTCTTTATCATATCCTGTCCCCACTCTCCAGCACACGCATATGTGTTCTCAGCAGTCCAGATCATAGACTTTCTAAAATACAGTGAGCTTGCCTAGCTCACTCTACCACACAATACCTCTGTTTTTTTTTTTTTTTCCCACATTGAAAACTTTACATATTATCTACATTGTATTCATTCAAAGTTTGCTTACAGGCATTGAGTATATGGAATAGCCATTTGGCTCATAACTTTGGTTTAGTTACAATTGTGGATCAAAGAGTTATCAGTGTAATAGCTATTCTTTGTAATATATTGGCAAATATTCTCTGAGCAAAGTGTGCCATTTCTTTGTTGTTGTTGCACAGAGTACCTCTTTTTTGTTTGTTTATTGTTGTAGTTTAAGTGAAAATTTACATTTCAAATCAGTCTCTTACACAAAAATTTATACATACATTGTTATGTGACCCTAATTTCTTTCCCCATACTGTGACAGCACACTCCTCCTTTCCACCCCTGATTTCCCGTGTCCATTCAACCAGCTCCTAACCCTCTCTCCTTTCTCATCGCATCTTCGTACAGGAGCTGCCCCTTTAGTCTCATGTATCTACTTGCGCTAAGAAGCACACTCTTCACAAGTATCATTGTGTCGCACAGTCCAGTCCAATCCCTGTCTGAAGAGTTGGCCTCGGAAATTGTTTTAGTTCTAGGCTGACAGAGAGTCCAGAGGCCATGCTTTCTCGGGTTCCTCCAGTCTCAGTAAGACCATTAAGTCTGGCCTTTTCACTAGAATTTGAGTTCTGCACCCCACCCTTTCTCCTGCTCCATCCGGGACTCTCTGTTGTGTTCCCTGTCAGGGCGGTCCTTAGTGGTAGCTGGGCACCATCTAGTTCTCCTGGTCTCAGGTTGATGAAGTCTCTGGTTTATGTGGCCCTTTCTGTCTCTTGAGCGAATACTTTTCTTTGTGTCTTTGGTGTTCTTCGTTCTCCTTTACTCCAGGTGATTGGGACCAATTGATGCATCTTAGATGGCCGCTTGAAGGCTTTTAAGACCCCAGATGCCACTCACCAAAGTAGGATGCAGAACATTTTCTTAATAAACTTTGTTATGCCAACTGACCTAGATGTCCTCTGAAACCATGGACCCTAGACCCCTGCCCCTGCCACTCTGTCTCTCAAAGGCACACAGTACCTCTTGATTTACCTCTTTTCCTTTCTCTGAAAATTAGAATAACATTAACTCTCGCTTCAACTAGCTGGAGCTCTGTCCCTTCTGGTTCTGCTCTTTCCAGTTTGAAGACCGTTCTCCTTGAAAATGCAGAAGCCAAAAGGGTTTGAATAGACCTGCCTTCTCCCTGACCTGCAAACTTTACATAAATTTTTAGCATTTGGTGGGAATTTCCCTCCTTGCTCTTCTTTGGCCCTAGTTCTGTTCTGGATTTTGTCTTTCCGGGACTATTCTTAGAGGTTCTATATTCCAGAAGAGTATAGCATAACAGGGAAACCCTGGTGGCATAATGGTTAAGAGCTATGGCTGCTAACCAGAAGGTTGGCAGTTCGAATCCACCAGGTTCTCCTTGGAAACCCTATGGGGCAGTTCTGCTCTGTCCTATAGAGTCACTGTAGTCGGAATCAACTCAACGTCAGTGGGTTTTAAGCACAACAAGCTTTGGAGCTGGGTAGAAGTAGATGCAAATTCTGGTGCAATGGTTAAGCACTCAGCTGCTAACTGAAAGGTCAGCGATTTGACCCCACCAGAGGCTCCAAGGGAGAAAAAACTTGGCAATCTGCTCCTATAAGGATATCCAGCCTTGGAAACCCTATGGGGCAATTCTATTTTGTTACATGGGGTTGCCATGAGTCGGAATTGACTCAACGGCACACAGCAACAGCTTTGTGTGCATCTCTGTGTGCCTCAGTGTCTTCATCTATACAGTGGAGATCATTAAGGTTGTGAATATTAAACCCAGAAACCAAACCCATTGCCATCCAGTCAATTCCGACTCATAACGACCCTATAGGACAAAGTAGTACTGCCCCATAGAGTTTCCAAGGAGCGGCTGGTGGATTCCGGCTGTCGACTTTTTGGTTAGCAGCCGTAGCTCTTAACCACTGCACCACCAGGGTTTCTGAATATTAAATTAGGTAATTTATATAAAGCACTTAGTATATATGTGGTAAGTATGGTAATGTTCATCTACTAGTCTTCTGTATGTGTTCCTGGCTAAGGTTTCAGTGAATAAAAGATAAGTTTCTATGCTTTAAATTTGTGACCCTCTTACTTTTCGATGATACTGCAAAATGAAGTACAGTGAAACCCATGAGAGCCGGAACTCAGTAGGACTGCCTTGTTTTTCCAGGTCTTGCAAGTTTTCCACCTTTGACAAGGTGCAGTCTTACCACTTTTCTGTTGCTCTCTATTAGTGGAAAATATTTGCGTTTTCCGTCTCTGACAGGTTTCCACCTCGCACAAATTCCGGCTTCTTGCTATTTTGTTCTTCCAAATAGCACTTCAGTGTTTGCTTCTGACTGTGAGCCTCACTTGTTCTATAAAGACTTTCGATGTAATATTCTTTGTGACAGTGGGGTTTGAAATTTGTCAGTCTAACTCATGCCATTCATAATTGAGCGATTGTTTAAAAATTATTCCTCACTGGTCTTTATATTTTTTATGTGTTTTATGCTGACACTTCTCTACTTTAAAAAATCAGCGGTGCTCAGAGAAGTTTGTTGTTCATTTGTCTCTTTTTTTTTTGCTTTCAGGATTTGTGACGCAGCCACTATTCACTGTCTTTTGGAGCAAGAACTGGCGCATGCCGTGAATGCGTGCTCCCATGCGCTGAATAAAGCCAACCCCAAGTACCCAGAGGTGAGGAGAGAATGTCAGTTCTTGTTCTGCAGACTTTCTGGTGTGTTACACATATATTTTAATATTACAAAATACCACCCCTTTTGAAAGAAAGTTACACAATCATATAAGTCTGTGCCAGAAACTTAGGATAAATTTGTGGCTGAATTTTACTTATTTTCCTTTACCTGCCATCTTTCCATTCCCACTCTTAAATTCTGTGCATTTTTTTTTTCAATTTCCCTTTCAATCACTTATCATCTAGCCATTTTCCTTCTGCTCCTTCTCCTTTTAACCACTACCATCCCTCCTTGCTCCTTCTTCTACCTTCTCCCTGCACCTTTGTGTAGGACAAGCCTATGTAGCACAGTTGGTATTTATTAGAGATGCCTATTCATTTTTGAAGTTAATGCATGGAAATTATTCTTACCTTCTTTTATACTAACTTGGTAATTTATTCTTCTGTAAAATTTTAATGTAGAAGGTGATAGTGGACGAATAAAACTCTCTTGAAATGTGATACATGGTACAATGCTATAGGATAGAGAAAACTAACAGAAGCATTTTATTCTTTTAATCATTCTATTGAAGTTACCTAAATTAATATACAAATAAGTGCTGGTCCCCAAGATTACAGTCGCTAAACCATCTGGTTGAAACTACCGAGCGTCAGTGGATAGAACTAATTATAATCAGATACTGCCTCTTCTAAGACAGAATTTTCTTTGACTTAACTTTTGCATGGGAATATATATATGTTGATGCCAGCATACACATTTGTAGGTAGGAGATATGATCCTGAATGAATTCACTATAGTCAGTGCATACTTTCAGTTCGGTGATATAATAATTAGAAGAAATATCATACTAGCAAATGTGTGTGAAATTTTACAAGCATAATAGAATTTTGGTAGCTTTTTAAAAATTTGTGATGTAAATTTAAATTGTGAAAAGAAAATTAAAGTGTTTACTGACGATTGAATCACCATGTAATACAGAACCACTTTTCTTTGATATTCTTCTTTTCTAGAGTCTTACGAGAGACATTGCCACTGAAATAGCCATGAATGTGAAGACACTGTATAATGAAACGGAATCTTTACTAGTTGGCAGGGTCCCTTTGGTAAGGAAAGGAAATGGTTGATAACATAAGGGTGATGAAATAAATGTATGGGCCTTACCTCCGTCAGGGAACACGCGTTCATCGGATTGCAGTGCAGAAGCAGCCTCTGGCCTTCATCCTAGGAGCGTCCTTTTTTTCTAGCTCTTTCCTTCAAGAAATCATAACCCCTGGAGTTTTGTTTCAGGCTTATCAGGAGTAGAGGTTTCCCCTCGTAGATGTCATCGGGTTTTTGTGCGAGTCTGCTCTATTCCGTCAACTTTGAGCTTTCTAAAGTGTTAGAGAAAAGAAGAGGAAATCGTAGATTTTGTTCCCTGAATTAACATCTGAAACACGATTCATATGGTCCCCCAGATTTGCTTAAAAGAGGACACTGCCTAGATGCAGTGTCTCAAAAACTGAATTTCAGAAACTAGCCGTATCCCTAGTTTAACTAAGACTGGTCGTGGAAATCACCTTTAGGCTCAATCTAAACCTCCCACAATCCATGGACCTGAAGAGTAAGTGCTAGAAGAAACCCATAGATGTCCTATTGGGCAGCCCAGTGTTTGCCTTGTTAGCCTTCTTTATTCCCTCACCATTTTCAAATGTTCTAGCACATTGGATGTTGATGCCACCTAGTGGTCATTTGTGGGTTATTCACATATCCTATAGTAATGTTTTGTGTAGAGGACCTCTGATACATTAGCCATTTTATTCTTTGTAACAATTATGATTAATTGATGGGTGATGATCTTGAGACATTTCTCTTGACAGTAATTTTATATCTTAGCTAAATAAAAGCGATATTAAAATTCCCAATATCTGGCCCTATGGGAGAATGGGAGATGTGTCGAACAGTCTAGCTAACTAATAGTAACTGGGATTGGAATTTATGTTTGATTGGGGTCCAGAAGAGTGTTGCCCTTAGAGCGTCTTTTGGTCCTAGAAGAAAAACGTAAAGACCGCATGAGACTAAGTTGCTCTTACCCCCGTCCGAGGAGACCAAAACGTAGCTTTCCTGGGGCAAGAGACTGACTGCCTCTAAAATGGCCATGAAGAAAAACTTTTAGCAAAAACATTGGTTATCTTTTTTCTTTTCCTAATTTATTTTATTCTTTGTTGTTATTGAAAATATACACAGAAGAACATACACCAAGTCAACAGTTTCTACGTGTACACTTCAGTGACATTGATTGCCTTCTTCAAGTTGGGCAACCATTCTCACTCTGCTTTACAAGGTGTTCCTCTCCCATTAACATAAATTCACTGTCCCCTAAATTTTCCTGTCTAACCTTTTGAATTGTTGTTGTCAAATCTGTCACATACAGATAGTTCTTAGAAGAGCACAATACTCAAGGTGGACATTCTTTACTACTTAAGCTATTGTTGGTTTTAAGAAGAGTTCAGGGAATATTTTTGGTTTAAGGTTTAAAGGTTATCTCAGGGCAGTAGTTTCAGGGGTTCATTCAGCCTGTATGACTCCCAAAAGTGGATTCCATGATAATTTGAAATTCTGTTCTGCATTTTTTTCCCTTTTTATTAGGATTCTTCTATAGAATATTTAATCGAAACGTTCAGGGTTGTCTTTTTCGAGAAAACCAATGGGGACATCTTTTTGCTATTCTTGACACTACTGGTGTTAACCAGAATCTTCTTACTGTTCTTCTAAAATACGTCCTGTAGGAACTCCAGTGAGCTCTGACTTTGGTCCCAATTTTTGGATCAAGGACATTTGTTTTTCTTTATTTGAAATCTATTTAAGATAACTTCTGATTGACAAGAACTAGAGGTATAACTTACTCTGTATCTTAGTTCTCTATACCTAAAGCATCTGTTGAGTGCTATCAGGTTAATATTTATCAGTTCCATTATGTTGATCTAGAAGGACCCCCTGCACTTTTAATTCTTCTATGTGATTATCAAATATGCATGTTCGAATATGTGAATTTTAGCAAAACCTGTGACAGTAGTGATATCACAAAGAATTGATTATATTTGGGAGAAACTAATATTTATTCTTCATTTCTAGAATGCATATGTAATAACCCGTTTATCAGATTTATAAGACATATATTCTTAGACTAAAAGGAAAGTGGTACATTTTGTACAACAATGTGGAGACTCTCCATACTTTTATTAATGATGAGAAATGGTAGATTCTTTGAATAACAGAGGAAAACAAAAAATAATATCCATAGTAAGTAACAGTCACTCTCTCTGAACTTCCAGTTCTGAAATTCTGTGTCTTCTAGGGACATAGTCTACAATTTTGCAGTAATTTATGAAAGTATTGATTAGCTGGAAGAGACCTCGGAAATAATCTAGTCACATCCTACTATTTAAAGAGGAGGTAACTGAGGCTCCTGAAATTAATTGACCTTCCCATGTCTGCATGGCTCATGAGTAGCAATGCCAAGGCTAGAATCCTTGCATTTCTAAGCATAGCAATGTTTGTCTCACCTTTATTCATAGTAACTGCTTTTCATGAGTTCATGTGGATAATAAGTGACCAGTTAAATTCTTTTTGAAGTGTATAAATCCACTTTTCTGACTAATGCATTTTGACTAATCTGCAGATCACAAGCCTTTTTGCTTTTTCCTTTGCTACAATTTTTACAAAAGCTTTTCATCAAATCGTTGTCTGGGTTCGATGTATTTTTTTCCTTAACCTCACTCTTTTAAATCTCCAGATTTTTATGCCAAGCAGTTCTTTTTATGTAACAACTTTTTGACAAATTTAAAAAATATTATTGTTTGTTCACAAAGTGACCTATATAAACCAGAAGGCTTTTTGGCATAAGTAAGTAGAATAATGAGACTTCTCACGAGTCCAAGGAGGCAAAGGAGGTGGGTGGATGACTGGATGGAAAGAAAGGAGAAAGGGAAAGAGATGGAGGGAAGAAGGGAGGTAGAGAGAGAAAGAAGTAAGAAACGTTCTACGTAGGAAAAAAATAATACTTTCTCTGTGATATTATTAAAATCACATTAGCTGCTTAAATCTTTGGGAAGTAAAGATGAGACCAAATCTACCCAGATATTTTTCAATGAAGTCAATATAAGGGACTGTGTTCTTTTTTTCTCTATTTCTTTATAAAAACCTAGCCTAATAAAAGGCGAGGATGTTCACTGTCAAAATGAAACAGTTCTATTTGAAGGCGGTAACTGAGTCCTGTTGTTTTGCTTTTCAATCTGCTGGTAAATAGCAGTTGGAGTCTCCACATGAAGAGCGAGTGTCCGATGCCTTACACTCCGTGGAGGTAGAACTACAAAAATTAACAGAGATTCCTTGGCTTTATTACATCTTCCATCAAAATGAAGATGAGGTATGTCAAAATTCCACCTGTTTCTTTATAAATGTATATAAAGACTTTATGACAATAGAATTTGAATTCACCTTCTGAAAAAGATATTCAGGAGAAAATAAATTTTGAAAGCTCCTTTTAAATGCACTGCTCTTGAACAAGTGAGAAACGGAATTTAGGTGAACAAGATGGAATCAGTATGTTTTCAGAAGTACATTAACCATGGATTTTTTTTTGACAAAGTTAGCACTATCCTATAACGTTTAGTGAGAAGCCCTGGTGGCGCCACAGTTCAGTGCTTGGCTACTAAGCAAAAGGTTGACAGTTTGAACCCACCCAGTGGCTCCACCGGGGAAAGACCTGGTGATCTGCTTCCATGAAGGTTACAGCCAAGAACACCCTATAGGGTAGTTCTGCTCTGTCACATAGGGTTGCTGGGAGTCGGAATCGACTCGACAGCACCTAACAACAACATAATTTTAGCGTTTATAACTTATTCCTATGTATCTCTACTATCAGAGTGAGTTTTTTTTTTTTTTTCCCTCAACATTCTCAAAAAGTTATTTTCTTACCCAATTTAAACAGGAGCCTCCTATGGATTGCACCAAAAGAAACAACAGGAGCACAGTATTCCGTATAGTGCCGAAGTTTAAAAAGGAAAAGGTTCCAAAGCAGAAGACAAGTTCACAACATGGTAGGTGGTCCACGCTGACGGCAAAGTAGAACACTATGAAAAAAACAACTTATTAAAATCATATCATACTTAAAATAAGTCACAGTGTTCCATAGTAAGCTGTAGTCGTGAAGCACACAAGAAAATGTGGTTATTGGTTTGTTTCCATGTGGTTTGGTGGATGTTGTTGTTGTTAGGTGCCGCCAGGTCACTTCCAATTCATAGCAACCCTATGCACAAACGAACGAAACACAGCCCGGCCCTGCGCTATCTTCACATTCGTTGTGATGCTTGAGCCCATTGTTGCAGCCACTATGTCAGTCCATCTCGTTGAGGGTCTTCCTCTTTTTCACTGACCCTCTGCTTTACCAAGCATGATGTCCTTCTCCAGGGACCGGTCCCTCCTGATAACATGTCCAAAGTATTGAGACGTAGTCTTGCCATCTTGCTTCTAAGGAGCGTACAGTACAATGGAGTACAAGGTACCAGTGTGTAACTTGTTTTTGTTTTGGTTTCTCAGAGTTCAAAATCTAGATCACTTTGATAAACGGAACATAGAAATTTTCATTTACTCCTTTAACTTACTAAATATGTTTTTCGCCTAAAGTTACGTGTTGTCTTTCCCCTGCTTTAAAGACTTAACTACACCATTTCACCCCTTCAGTAATGACCATCTACTGTGATACTTGTGTTTTCAAGCAAAGATTTAACCCTTTTTTTGCTGCTTTCTTTCTAGTTCCCTTTCCACCTTTCCCTAGAGATTAAAAGTACTGCTAGACCACTGCTGAAGCCCCTTCAAGTTCTGTGTATATGGTGGTAGCTGCCTTTCATAATCAAATCACTTTATAATTCTTCCAAGTTAGCTCTCTATTTTTAAAAAGTGATATAAAACTTTGTGATATTTATAAAGCAGCTATTTAAAAGAATTTTAAAACTAAATACAGCAAATAAATAGGTTTTTATTAAGCTAATCAATGTTGAATAAAATGCATAAGATAATGATTATATGTACTGAAAAGTAATATAAACCAACTCATCTTAGAGAGCAATGCTGACATTTTTAAATGACATATTAAATTGATTTAACAAAACATTAATTGTTGTAATTATCAGTAATAGTGGAATCAATAAAGGCAACACTTGACGTCGGTAAGGGCACAAGCAGAAGAGTTTGTGTAAAATTGAGCACCCGGTATCAGATTTTAAATTAGCATTTATAGCTCATTTCTGACTATAACCAGTTTCATACGTGGTCTTAAGGAAATACAGTCGATTCCCATCATTCTCAGATTCCGTGTTTGCGAATTTACTTACGTGCTAAAATTTATTTGTAACCCCAGAAACGATACTCGCAGCATGTTTTTCCTCATTCACAGACACACACGTGCAGAGAGTGAAAAATGAGTCACCCAATGCATACGTTTCCAGCTGATGTCGAACAAGGCAGGCTCTCATACTGTCACATTTTTGTGCTTTTTGTTGGTGATTTTGCTGTTTTAAAATGGCCCCCAAACATAATGCTGTCTCATGTTCCTGAGTGCAGGAAGACTGTGATGTGCCTTATGGAGAGAATAGACGTGTTAGGTAGCTGGGTTCAGGCATGAGTTACCATGCTGTTTGCTGTGAGTTGTGTGTTAATGAATCAACAGTATATATTAACTAAGGTATCTTTGGAGCCCTGGTGATGCAATGGTTAAATGTTTGGCTACTAACCAAAAGGCCAACAGTTGAAATCCACCAGCTTTATGACTGGTATTTTAAATTAGTTTTGGAAACCCTATGGGGCAGTTCTACTCTGTCCTGTGGGTCACTATGAGTTGGAATCTACGGCAACAGGTTTGTTTTTGTGTTTTTTTTCAGGTGTCTTTAAACAGAAACATACATAAAAAAAGATTATGTATTGAACAATTGACAAAAATGTTGTGACCAGAGGCTCACAGCAACCTAACCCAGTATTTCCCCTAGGAACAGTGGTTCAGTGTTCTCTAGTTAATGTTCGTGGTCACTTTGTAGAACATAACTACTGCGAATAATGAGAATCGACTGTAATCAGAGCTTATTTAGACCTTGTGCCACTGATCCTAATAGTGTGAAATGAATTTTTTTATACATAGCTTTAATGAGGAAATTGGAGTAAAGCTAAAGGCATGGCAGCACAGCAGTGAATGTCTTTGTCTAGCCATATCCTTGTGTTTATTGATGGTCTATAACCTGCATGGGAAAAAATGAAACTGAAGTGTTGGAAAAACACCTTTAACCTTTCCCTTCGCTAGCACTGCTGCTCAACTCTGTTTTGCATCTTCTTTGGCCACCCTTTGCTTTGTGATGCATTGAGCATGTAGAAATTAAGGGGGTTTTGCTCTTAACTTTGGTAGTTCAGAAATGGGGCACAGAGGAAGTTGCTGCTTGGCTGGATCTGCTCCACTTGGGAGAGTACAAAGAAACCTTCATCCGCCATGACATCAGAGGGGCTGAACTTTTGCATCTGGAAAGGCGAGACCTTAAGGTATTTCCTTTGTGCTACTTTTCCGCTCTTGACATTTTTCTTGCAAAACAGAATCATTTTCTCCCACGCTGCTTCTGTTGTGTGCTTATAGCTTGGCTCATGTTGTAACATGTGCCATAATCGCAAGTGCATTGTGCTGTGGCCTGAGTTCCTTCGTATGCTCTCTCAGCAAGAATGTCAGCAAGATTTTCCCATCAAAAGTCATTCACCAACTAATTAGAGCTGAAGCTCGGCATGAACTTGGTACTTTTTCCATTCGTATGCCTCCTCCTGTGCTCATATTTTTAAATGGGTCATGTTTCCATCACCTCATTTTACTGGATCAGCATGTAAGGTGGTAATTGTTGATGAAATAACTAAAAAATGTATCTAATGTAAGGCTAACAATAAAAAACTAATTCAAAATACCAATCATAAAGCCTTTCTAATAAATGGAACAAAATGAGAGACTTATAAAACTAAAAAACCAAACCCATTGCCATCGAGTCAATTCTGACTCATAGCAACCCTGTAAGGACAGAGCGTAACTGCCCCATAGGGTTTCCAAGGGTGTAAATCCTTATGAAAGCAGACTGCCACAGCTTTCTCGGGGACTTTAACCACTGTGCCACCAGGGCTCCTGAGAGACTATAGCAGTGGCTAACTATAGTCCTACAATTTTGTCATGTTTCTGAATTGACCTTTTGTAGGTCTCATGAACAACTAGACCAATAAATTCAAATTTTTCTTTCCTCAACTTATTGTTTAAATTTTATTATTCTCAAAAAGGAAATTCATTTTCTTTAGTAAATGAAATAAAAAATTATGCATAGCTTTTGTTAGAAAGCAGCCTAGAACCTGTTTGTCATTTATGACAGAGAAGAAGAATCATTAATCCACGGTCTAGCAGCATTCCCATTTATTCTCTGGGTGGAGACCCAACAGTAGAAACAACATAAGCCTGTGTCCAGGGATGAGGAATAGGAGCTTGTCATATTTTCTTACCACAAGCTGCCGTTTTAATAAGTTTAAGTAATACACAAGTGAGAAAAGCCCTCAACGTTTGTTGGAGTGACCCCTTTGTGATGTAAGGATTATTAGACAAAACCCACTTTCAGGCACACTGTTTTTCTGTATGCCAAGGTCTAAAATGCATAGAATTATGGTACAGTGAATTCATGAACTATTGGGCCTCTACCTATAAATATGTTAGCAAAGATCTCTGAACAGATCATGGGTAGTAAAAATGATAGATCTTTATTAAGCAGAGTCATGCGGAGTTTTAAGCACATCAAGAAGTGAACACTACTTACACCTGAACATTTTCAGCCAAAATAATAATAAAATAATAGATGAGTTAATTACCCTTAGTTGAAAGTCACAAATCTGGAAAATAGAATAAGTTCACACATATCTGAAGCCTTAAGTTTAGCAAAATATTCACTGTTAGAGTTCATGAAGCAAAAGACTTCAAAACGTGGAATGAGTACACAAAAAAATAAATGTAAGCGATCATTATATTCAACATGTTTGTGTCGCTTCTGATATCTATCCCTGGCAGGCAGCAATATTTATTGAGTAGCTGCTGATTAATACATTATGCCAGCTTCTCTAGGTGACATCTGCCTTCTAAAAGCTTGCATTTCATTTGTCATGAATAAGTGTACATTCATGGAAAAAGAACGAGTATGTGTGTGTAGATGCGCACACACACGTATGTATATGTGTTTTTGTGTATATATGCGTATACACAAACATATATAAACATACTGATATGCACATAAAAACACATACAGAGTGAGTGAAGCAAACATTTACAGAGTGAAAAAGCAAAGCTCACGTATGTACTGAGTCAAAGTTAGAGTGATGGGACCTGGCTATTAAAAAGGTAGAATAAGGGAGGCAGGGCCAAGATGGCAGAGTAGTCAGACGCTTCCAGTGGACCCTCTTATAACAAAGACCTGAAAAAACAAGTGCTTCGATTATATATGGCAATCTGGGAGCCCTGAACATCAAAAGCAGAGTTGACAAACCGGACTGAGTGGCAGGGGGAGAGAGGGACAGTTCGGAAGCAGCGAGGAGTTGCCAGATCTGACCCGCCTGAGCCCTTCAGGCCTGATCAGTTCGGAGGTGAGCAGTGAGGCAGGCAAGCAGCCGTGCTCGGGAGGCACGATTTCCTCGCCGGCAGAGACCCAGCACTAGAGAGTCTACACGGCCACCCAGAACCAGTGAGAAGCAGCCCTCCACGAAAGATGAGGACTTGCATGCGGCTTACTGTGCGGATCAAAAACACCCCCCTTAGGGGAAAACCTCTCTCCCATTTACCTCCCCGTTCCCTGCTCTGCACTGCATCCTAGACCGGCTTCAGAAGTTGCAGAGTCCCCTGGGTCAGAACTAGGATCTGTCACATGCCCGGAGCCATTCTCCCTGCCCTGGAGTGAACAAATTAACAAATGGGAAAAAATAAACTACCGGCTCCCCTAAGCCAGAAACCCATGGTAGGCACACCTCCTTTGCTAGGCACAGCCATAAGGGATCCACAGACTTTGAGTGCCTTTCCCCCTGCGTAGACTTGTATGGGCCCATCTCCAATAGCGTAGGCCCTCATTACCACAGTACAACAGGGTATATACAGGAACTGTAACTTCAGCTGTGAAGTGGCAGGTTCTTGACATTTGACACTGCTATGCCTATTAAGCAGGGTCTTCACCTACCCACATCAGGGGCCTGAGGACTGGTGGCTCCACCCACACCACCTAGCCACCTGCAATAGGGGCCCATGAAGAAGAGGTGCCCTCCAGTCCTTACACCCAGCAGCATTAGGTGCTCACAGTCCGGCTGCAAAACCCGCCCACCTACGTGCTCTAGGGAACAGGGACATGCCTTCCTCCTGGACACTCGGGGGATGACCGTCAGCCTCCTGCCTTGCTCACAGCATGTCCGCCTGTTGCAACCAGATGCCTGTGCCTACAGCAATCACCCATGCCTATCTAGGACTGTAAGTGAGAGCCTATACCACACACTTGGTGGCTATCTACCTGGGCACCTGAGCCGAATCCATACAGGAGGAATGGGCAGACTCTTGAGCTCACATACCTAGTAGCAGATCTAACCACCTGGTGACAGGACATTAGAGCTTCAAAGGTGCCAATAATCAAACTAGCTCATACGAGCACCCTATTTAGGCATATCAAAACAAAACAAGAAGCTAGGACACAGTGAGCAAACATAAAATAAATAAATATAATAACTTATTGATGGCTCGGAGACAACAGTCAATATCAAATCACATAAAGAGGAAATCCATGATGGTTTCCACAAGCTCCCAAAATTAAAGAATCTAGAAATTTTCCAGAGGAGGAAAATTTCTTGGAATTACTGGAGGCAGAATACAAAAGATTAATGTACAGAACTCTTCAGGAAATTAACCAAAACGCAGAAGACGCAATAGAGGAAATTAAAAAGACTAGAGAAGAGCATAATGACAAATTTAACAGGCTGCAAGAGTCCATAGAGAGACAGCGTCAGAAATCCAGAAGATTAACGATCAAATTTCAGAATTAGACAACTTAATAGAAAGTCATAGGAGAGGCAATGCAGGTTAGAATTAGTGAGATTGAAGATAAAGCACTTGACAACAACTTATTTGAGGAAAAAACAGATAAAAGGATTTAAAAAAATGAAGAAACCCTAAGAATTATGTGGGACTCTATCAAGAGGAATAATCTACGACTGACTGGAGTACCAGAACAGGGACGGATAACAGAAAATACAGATAGAATTGTTGAAGATTTGTTGGCAGAAAACTTCCCTGATATCATGAAAGATGACAAGATATCTATCCAAGGTGCTCATTGAACCCTACATAAGGTAGATCCAAAAAGAACATCACCAAGACATATTATAATCAAACTTGCCACAACCAAAGATAAAGAGAGAATTTTAAGAGCAGCTAGGAATAAATGAAAAGTCATCTACAAAGGAGAGTCAATAAGAATAAGTTCAGACTACTCAGCAGAAACCATGCAGGCAAGAAGGCAATGGGATGACATATATAAAGCCTTGAAGGAAAAAACTGCCAGCCAAGAATTATATATCCAGCAAAACTGTCTCTCAAATATGATGGCAAAATTAGGGTATTTCCAGATAAACAGAAGTTTAGGGAATTTGCAAAAACCAAACCAAAATTACAAAAAATGCGAAAGGGAGTCCTCTGGTTAGAAAATCAGTAACATCAGATAACAACCCAAGACTAAATACAGGATAGAGCAACCAGATGTCAACCCAGATAGGGAATGTCACAAAAGTAAATCAGAGCTAAAACACTGAAAATAGAGAAACAGATGTCAATATGTAAAAGATGACAACATAAAAACAAAAAAGAGGGACTTAAAAAATGTAGACATAGATTTTGCATATGGAGAGGAAGTCAAGGCAATATAAAGAAATAAAAGACTGGTATAAACTTAGAAAAATAGGGTTAAATACTAAGGTAACCACAAAGGAAACTAACAATCCTACAAGTCAAAATAAAAAACTAGAAAAATATAAAGACTCAGCAAACACAAAATCAACAACAATAAAAAATATGAAAATACATAAAGAAAAATGACTCAGCACGGAAAATTAAGTGGAACAAAGAAACTGAACAACACACAAAAAAAAAACATCAAAACGACAGCACTAAACTCATACCTATCAATAATTATGCAGAATGTAAATGGACTAAATGCACCAATAAAGAGACAGAGAGTGGCAGATTGGATAAAAAAACACAATCCGTCTATACACTGCCTACAAGAGACACACCTTAAAGACACAAACTAAAACTCAAAGGATGGAAAAAAATATATCAAGCAAACAACACTCAAAAA